AAGTAGAAGTACAGGTATTTGAGTTCAACATGTGAGAAGTAGAAAGTACAGGTATTTGAGTTCAACATGTGAGAAGTAGAAAGTACAGGTATTTGTTCAACATGAGAAGTAGAAAGTACAGGTATTTGTGTTCAACATGTAAGAAGTAGAAAGTACAGGTATTTGTGTCAACATGTAAGAAGTAGAAAGTACAGGTATTGTGTTCAACATGTAAGAAGTAGAAAGTACAGGTATTTGAGTTCAACATGTAAGAAGTAGAAAGTACAGGTATTTGTGTTCAACATGTAAGAAGTAGAAAGTACAGGTATTTGGGTTCAACATGTAAGAAGTAGAAAGTACAGGTATTTGGGTTCAACATGTAAGAAGTAGAAAGTACAGGTATTTGAGTTCAACATGTAGAAGTAGAAAGTACAGGTATTTGAGTTCAACATGTAAGAAGTAGAAAGTACAGGTATTTGTGTTCAACATGTAAGAAGTAGAAAGTACAGGTATTTGTGTTCAACATGAGAAGTAGAAAGTACAGGTATTTGTGTTCAACATGTAAGAAGTAGAAAGTACAGGTATTTGGGTTCAACATGTAAGAAGTAGAAAGTACAGGTATTGAGTTCAACATGAGAAGTAGAAAGTACAGGTATTTGTGTTCAACATGTAAGAAGTAGAAAGTACAGGTATTTGAGTTCAACATGTAAGAAGTAGAAAGTACAGGTATTTGAGTTCAACATGTAAGAAAGTAGAAAGTACAGGTATTTGGTTCAACATGTAAGAAGTAGAAAGTACAGGTATTTGAGTTCAACATGAGAGAAGTAGAAAGTACAGGTATTTGAGTTCAACATGTAAGAAGTAGAAAGTACAGGTATTTGAGTTCAACATGTAAGAAGTAGAAAGTACAGGTATTTGTGTTCAACATGTAGAAGTAGAAAGTACAGGTATTTGAGTTCAACATGTAAGAAGTAGAAAGTACAGGTATTTGAGTTCAACATGTAAGAAGTAGAAAGTACAGGTATTTGAGTTCAACATGTAAGAAGTAGAAAGTACAGGTATTTGAGTTCAACATGTAAGAAGTAGAAAGTACAGGTATTTGAGTTCAACATGTAAGAAGTAGAAAGTACAGGTATTTGAGTTCAACATGTAAGAAGTAGAAAGTACAGGTATTTGAGTTCAACATGTAAGAAGTAGAAAGTACAGGTATTTGAGTTCATGTAAGAAGTAGAAAGTACAGGTATTTGTGTTCAACATGTGAGAAGTAGAAAGTACAGGTATTTGTGTTCAACATGAGAGAAGTAGAAAGTACAGGTATTTGAGTTCAACATGTAAGAAGTAGAAAGTACAGGTATTTGTGTTCAACATGTAAGAAGTAGAAAGTACAGGTATTTGAGTTCAACATGTAAGAAGTAGAAAGTACAGGTATTTGTGAGTACAGGTATTTGTGTTCAACATGTGAGAAGTAGAAAGTACAGGTATTTGTGTTCAACATGTAAGAAGTAGAAAGTACAGGTATATTTGAGTTCAACATGTGAGAAGTAGAAAGTACAGGTATTTGAGTTCAACATGTAAGAAGTAGAAAGTACAGGTATATTTGAGTTCAACATGTAAGAAGTAGAAAGTACAGGTATTTGTGTTCAACATGAGAGAAGTAGAAAGTACAGGTATTTGAGTTCAACATGTAAGAAGTAGAAAGTACAGGTATTTGTGTTCAACATGTGAGAAGTAAAAAGTACAGGTATTTGGGTTCAACATGAGAGAAGTAGAAAGTACAGGTATTTGAGTTCAACATGTAAGAAGTAGAAAGTACAGGTATTTGTGTTCAACATGTGAGAAGTAGAAAGTACAGGTATTTGGGTTCAACATGAGAGAAGTAGAAAGTACAGGTATTTGAGTTCAACATGTAAGAAGTAGAGAAGTACAGGTATTTGTGTTCAACATGTAAGAGTAGAAAGTACAGGTATTTGTGTTCAACATGTAAGAAGTAGAAAGTACAGGTATTGAGTTCAACATGTGAGAAGTAGAAAGTACAGGTATTTGAGTTCAACATGTAAGAAGTAGAAAAGTACAGGTATTTGAGTTCAACATGTAAGAGTAGAAAGTAAAGGTATTTGTGTTCAAACATGTAAGAAAGTAGAAAGTAAGGGGTATTTGTGTTCAACATGTAAGAAGTAGAAAGTACAGGTATTTGAGTTCAACATGTGAGAAGTAGAAAGTTCAGGTATTTGTGTTCAACATGTGAGAAGTAGAAAGTACAGGTATTTGAGTTCAACACGTAGGAAGTAGAAAGTACAGGTATTTGTGTTCAACATGTAAGAAGTCAAAGTATACAGTTGTAGTGGAGTAAAGTACTGATAGCAGAAAAATGTACTTAAAGGTAGGGTAGGTAATTTTGGAGAAAGCAGCTCGAGTGGCCAGAATTTGAAATACACAGCCGGAACAGAATCTGCCCCCTTCCTCACAGAGCCCCTCCTCCAACACACACGAACGCACGACATGACCAATGAGGTGGCAGAGATCAGTGTGTGCCCAGATGGAAGGCTGACAGGCAGGTAGGGCCTCCAGTTACTTTAGCCGGCTCAGATGATTGGTCGAGCTTTCTACAACGCCACGGCTTCAAAGCACTTCAGATATTCATTGCTATCAGGATGTTAAGAGCATTCCATGGAGTCATGTGACTCAGAAGCTACTGGGTAATCTCCCAGCGTCATCAGGGCGTTAGATAGTCAGAGACGAAACGAGCCTACTCAGACCTGGAGATCTCATGAGGAATGAATACGTCAGAAAGAGAAGAAGTCTGAGACGTGGTGCTGTGGTAAAGAGTCATGTGACAGAAGTCCAGAGAGGAGTTACTGCTCAGAGACTCAGTGTGTTGTTAGGCCTGAACAAAGACAGACCTCAGCTCCATGTTGAGAGCAGCTGGGTGTGTTGTTGGCAGGAAAAGCAGATGGTTCACCAGACAAAGACTCAGTGCCACGGTGCCACTCCTCCCCTCTCACGCTCTCACCTATCAGAGGCCGGACAGGGAAACAGGCGCCAGCATGATTGAATCTCCTCTGTCGGTTATAAGAGTTCAGAGCAGGTCGCTGTGTGTCAGGAAACGCCCTAGCGCTCCGGTGGGGGGAGCACCACAGACACCCCTAAATCCACTCAGATAGCTCATTTTGAAAGGAGAAGCAGCTATAAATGTCTTTGTTTTGATGAATGACTTCAACACTTCACAACTGCCCTATAGTCACATTGTCTGTGTTTCTGTGCAGGAATCAGGACGTGTGAAGCTGCCAGTGGATAGAGGAAGTACAAAGCTCAATACTTCACTCTTCAATGCTGTGGGATGTACACAGAAGTGCCTCAGATGGTACTGAAGCAGAGTTCTGCTATGGAGCCATTAAAAGCTCATGAAACCCAACATGACTCTAAAACAGGAAATGACTGATTCCGGGTAAACTCACGGGGTTTCCGTCACATGAGAGACGTTGTGTTTCCATACCGTCAGTAACTGAATCACTTGAGAACTGAAAGGCATTTGTTCCATTTCAATTATGTTAACATTTACATTATGTTTTAAAAAAGCACCGAGAGTAATAACTTCTCTCTTTTTACAATCCATTCGTTTTCGGGGGAAAAGCAGAGAATCCCAAATAAAGTTTGAAATGAGTTCAAAGAAAGATTTTATTTTGTTTTAAAAACTATTCTTTCTGAATAAAAGGTAAAACTATGTTGAACGTTAAAGAGATGTTTCAATGTTATATCAATAAAGTTGTGTTTAGTCCATTTGTGTTTCTTTTGAATATCGTTAATATTGTTTTTTCTTAAAATGTGTATTTGTATTGAATGTTGTGTACAAATAAAACAATTAAGAAAACATCAGAATCATGAATACAAAATATAATATCTTTTTAATTTATACTTAAAAGAGTATTTTTTATATTTGTATTTTAACTGAAACAGTTTTGACGGCTTAGAAGATGTTAATAATTGTGCCTGTTGTTCTTCCTCTGGATAAATGATGTCAAAGTGCAGCTCAAGGGTTGAAGTCATGGAGTCATTCTAGAGATCAGTCTGAGCTCCAGCTGCTACTGAAAGATACCAGATGACTCTCACAGATACTTCCATGTTGGTCATGCTGTCGGTCTCTCTCTCCTCGTTGAGTCTCGTTCTCGCTCACAGCTTCAGCTCAGAGTCAGAAAGGAAACTGAAGAAACCAGAAAGCCTCGTTTGTACCCAGAAACAGAGCGAGGGGAAAGAACTCAGCTCTTCAGTGAAGTATAAATACTACAGGCTGGAAATACTGCATCAAGAGAAAGTCCTGCAGTAGAAATGTTACTCAAGTAGAACATGCTATCAGTAAAATACTTACAGTATCCTAGATTCAGTGTTTATAGGATATTAAATTCAGTGTTCGGTATATCTGATGCACAGCACTGCGTCATCAGCCGAGCGCAGGTTTTATATACGTAAAAGAGTTCAAATAAATATAGTGAGGTAAAAAGTGAGCAGTGAGAGCCTTCACATGCAGCAGAAGCAGAACGGGCAGACGAGGAAACACTCACCTTAAGTTCAAATAGGACTCACGCTGACCTTTAACCTTTAACCTTTGAAACCTTTGACCTTTGAAACCTTTATTGTCTGTTTGAGTAATAACGTAGAACGTATGAAATAGAAACGGCTCATTCAGACATCACTAGTCGAGCTGAGCGTTGAGTTTAGAGATAAAGAGCTAACTGGAACTCCCTGAAACAGAAAGCTAAATACTTTCAGCTTCACCTCCACTGCAGACCTGAGGGGGGGGGGGGGGGGGGTACTCTATAACATGACTTTAAAGTGCACTTCAGACAGAATTTAAGGTGTTTGACAGTACATACAAAAATGAATAGTTGTATTTATCTTATTAAAAAAATACCCAAACAGAACAGATAAATTATAAAGAAGCTTATTTAAATCCTAAATAACATATTTATGGAAAACCCAAGATCAATTACAAACAATTGCTTCAACTGAATAAAATCAACAACATATATTATTCAATGCTTTTATGGTTTGTGTGCAGAGCTACAGTTGAGTTACCAATGAACATCTGAAGCTCCGCCAGCAGAGCAATAAAACAGATCAAATAGTGCAGAAGAGTATTATATTTGGGAGGAAAGGAAATTGTGAATATGAAAAACAGGTATCAAGCATCGGGCAAATGATTTCTCAGTAGAGCTTTAAGCTAAATCAAATGTATTGATTTAAAAAGTAAATGTAATTAAACAATGTCTTTTAAGTACGTTGAGTTAAACTGAATCAACTTTCTTGACTTTGGAATAAGGAAACGTGTTCATTACATACAGTGTGCACATGCACTATATATAATCTTGAGATATGAAAATAAGAACAAATTATTTATAAAAATAGAACTTAACTATATTAAAGTAAACACAAAATATATCCCTATAAATACATTCCAGACCAGCACACGAAAGCAATGTGAAATGTATCACCAACACAATAGATGCAGTTTAAAACCTCTTTACAACGAGTCTAAGATTTGAATTGATATTGAAATAAACCCATAAATCACTGCATCGGATATTTTGGGGACGTCGGCCATGTTGTTAGCGCTTTGTTCGGCAGCAAAGTAAATCCTTCTGATTGGCTGATCGCTAACTTTTCTGCTACTTCTCAATGGAATCACATTTGGTGTAACCCTCACCTGGACCAGGCGTTTGTGTAGCAGGGGGTTTGTAAGCCCCTCCACCACGACAAGGTAGTGATTCACGGAGAGGATTTAGTTTAGAAGCAGGGGATTGAGGACAGTCAAGTGTGAAGAGGTCTTCATTGAAACTCTCTAATGGTCTCTTCACCTTAGCTCTTTGAGATCTCACAACAAGTCCAGCACCAACAACAACAACAACAACGACGAGACCAACCAGTACCAACCCAACTCCCAACCCAACGTTTCCTCCTGAACCCTCTGGTTGTTCATCGTTGGCGTCTCCATTCTTCAGGTGCTTCTCAGGACCTGAGGACAGAAAGAGCGAGCAGTGTGAGGAAACGACTGGACCTCCCCTCATGTTGGAGAACAGCTGATCATGAAGGAGATGAAGAACACAATCTGCTTCCTCTCCAGTCTCATGTCAGACATTATCTACCGATCACAGAGCATCAACATCATCTTTAAACCAATGGAGGAACTCTTCAGGAGAAACACAGACTCACCTTCAGAGACGGTCAGATGGACAGAGCGCACCAACTCTCTCACGTTTCTCTTCCTGCGATTATTTGAGAGAGTTATAACCCAACAATGGTACGTTCCCGTGTCGTTGATGCTGACGTTTTTCAGGAGAACAGAAGCGTTTCCGTTCTTCATCTTTGGATCTTCCAGCTCAACGCGACCTCGATAACGTGGATCCTGGATGCTTTCAATCAGCCTGTTATCGCTGAAGTAGAAGACGTAGTCCTCCAGCTCAGGTCTGCTCCACTCTACCTTTGTGATGGCAGCATCTGTGGAGCTGTTGCACCGAAGAGTGACGTTTTCTCCAGACGTTGCATTTTCTCCAAGCGACTCTAGAAAATAAAGGCAAAAGTCAGTAATTTGATTGCGATCAGTTCATTTTCAATTAGTCCCACTGTGTGTCCTCATTAAACTACACAAAGGATATTTAGTGCACAGGATGTTAAACGTAAACGCAGGGTTCTCACACGCACCAAGCCCTGGGCAGTACATCACCCCCACTCTCTTCAACCTCCACACCTACAATCCCTCCACGCCCTCTCCCCCTCAGTCCCTCACAGATCTCCTCCACCCTTCCATCCCGTCCCGCACCCTTCGATCCTCAGACTCCGGCCTGCTCTCCATTCCCCATTCACGCCTCCGCACCTTCGGGGCCGTGCCTTCAGTGTCGCTGCTCCCCCCCCCCCCTCTGGAACTCCCTCCCTGCAGAAATTAGCAACGCCCCTTCTCATCAACCCTTAAAACTCATCTGTTCAACATCGCCTTCCAACATGAACTCACTCCCCCCCCCACTTGCACTTCCATTTCTGCCCCTGTTTTATGTTTGTGTTTTATGTCTTGAAAATAATAGTTAAGAAAACATATAATTATATATATATATATATATATATATATATATACTATAATATATATATATAATGAGATAAGGCAGAATGCAAACACTGCACGGAGGAATACATACTAGTGCAGTATATGAAATGGTACTTTAATGTAGTTCTCTTTTATTTTCCTTTACTGGAGAAAGATCAATAACATGAACTGCTAATCCATCAAATAGATAAAACCCATTTTGTAAATCAATATATATTATATATATTTATGTACACTAATATGACATATGTGTGTAATAGTTGTAATAATGTGTAGCGAGTCCTTCATTACTCAGAAGAAAACGCCTTCAGGGTTCCTGCTTCCTCTTTTCAAACCGCTCCTCCTCTTAAAATCAGATATTCATATTAAAACTCTTTTTGTACATTAAAGGAGGGGTAGGTAAGTTTGAGAAACCGGCTCGAGATACACTTGTTGTTATATTCCATGGAATGCTCTTAACATCCCGATAGCAATGAATATCTGAAGTGCTTTGACAAAAAATCCATAACAAAATGTCATCTGTGGAAGCCGTGATACTGTAAAAAGCACAACCAATCCGTTTAGCCGGCCGCCCTGTCTGTCCAGCCTTCCATCTCGTGCATGCACAATGTATCTCGTGCCCTCATTGGGCGTGCATTGCGCGTTCATGTGTGTTGGAGGAGGTGCTCTGTAAGGAAGTCTGAAGGAAGGGGCGGATTCTTTTCGGCTGTGTACTTTCAAATTTTAGTGCACTCGAGCCGGTTTCTGAAACTTACCTACCCCACCTTTAACATGTAAATAAAAATATTTATAAGATCGAAAGCAGCTGCGCGCGCGCGCGCACACACACACTACACACACACACACACACACACACACACACACACACACACACACACACACACACACACACACACCACACAGCACACACACACACACCACACACACACACACACACAACCACACACACACACACACACACACACACACACACACACACACACACACACAACACACACACACACACACACACACACCACACACACACACACACACACACACACACAACACACACACACACACACAACACACACACACACCACACACACACACACACACACACACACACACACACTCACCTCCTGCAGCCACAGAGCCAGTGATCCACAGGAACATGAAAAGTCCTACATGTTGCGCAGATGTTAAATCCGCCATGAGAGAAGCTGCTGATGTTAACAGGTGGTCAACTCCTCTTCTTCTTTTCTCGGTTTTTGGCGGACGGTCTGACTCTTCCGGTAAAACTTTAGCGTTCTCTCTTTATACTTAAATGAGGGAGGAGGAGCAGGAGGAGGATCTATGGTCACATGACTTACAAGAAACAAGGCTGGGTTCCCTGGAAAGATTCCAAGTACAGACAGCAAACAACTCTCTGGCCCAATTCCAAACACCCTCCCCCTCCGTGACGCGGAGTGACACATGAGGCTCCTCCTGTCAGATGGAGTAAACACAGCAGCAAGCTTTGGGACCCTCCCCTCTCTCCGCAGAAACAGGAAGTGCCGTAACTGTGTGTAACAACGGTTTCAAATCAGCATCTCTTTGACAAAACATTAAAATGAATAACTCAAATAAAACTCCAAACATCTTTCATTGTGTTTCAAAGCTCTTTTAGTTTTAAACCTGATGTTTATAAGCTTCTTAGTTTTTGCAACAGTCTGTAAATAAACACAACTTTTAATAAAATGCACACATTTACCTTTTTCTAGAATAAACACAGGTTTGATCCTCAGTTAAAAACATATGAGGTCATCATGAGGTTGCTAACATGCAGTTCATCAGTGATGCAGGGCCGGCCCGTCGCACTGGCGTTATAGATGTTCGCCTAGGGGCAACCTGGTATTTTTACTCCACTACATTTTTTTTTTTTTTTGTGATCAAATTTGTATTGATGTTAATACACGACATGTACAACTACAAGCACAACATTTTTTATTTTTTTTGTCCTTAAATGAAATAACTGAAAGTACACAAGAGAAACAAAATGAGATAAAAATAATTACTTACAAAATATACAAAATGCAGAATTCAGAACACACAAGACAACGAAAATAAAATAAAATAAAATAAACCCTACCTCCCAGACATATAAACACACACAGACAAAGACACACACACATATAAGGTGTTCGCTGTTGGGTGCCAGCACTCCATCAGCGCTATCAGACAGGAGTGTGCACACACACACACACACACACACACACACACACACACACACACACACACACACACACACACACACACACACACACACACACACACACACACACACACACACACACACACACACAGGGAAACGCAAAGGTCGCAATTGAAAAGGCTGTGGATTATGGAAAGGGAGAAATCATTCTAAAAGATCTTTGAAGGAATCGACTGCAGAGCGCCAATTGTTTATATTAGTGTAATTTGTCCTATTTATTCGGGCAGTTGACAACTCTAGATAAACAACATCCAGGGATGCAAGGACCCAGTGTCTCAAGGTGAGGGAATTAGGAGGCTTCCATCGAACCGCAACCATCTTTTTTGCAGCTGTTAGGCCAGCTAGTAAGATGCGCATCTTAAGCTTGGTGATATTGAGCTTTGACAGATCATTCAATTGTAGAGCGGGTGCAGTCACCGGCACTGTCACTGAGAGCACACGTGATTCCGAGAAGCTTCTTTTATGCTTGACCAAACACCCTCCCAACTGAAATCAGGGTCTAAAACTGGGCAGTCACGTCTCCATACTCTGTCCAGCTGTAGGTTATCGTAGGAAGCCTCCAGAAAGAAATGATACAGTGTAGACACCATACCCCTGTTTTTCCCTTGTACAGTAAACAACTTATAAATAGGATGAACGGGTATAGGTTGTTGCCATGGGACACCATGTGCCTTGAGAGCAGATCTGAGCTGCAAATAGAAGAAAAACGAGCTACCTGGCAGATTGAATGCACTCTTAATTTCTTGAAAGGAGCACAAGCCCCTGTTATCATAAATGTCACTCAAGTGGTGAATACTGCTGTTGCTCCAATGAGAGGATGAGACAGGTCTCCCACCAATTAGCAGACCTTTATTATTATATATAGGAGAAAGTGTGTGCCACTTGCAGGAAATCTTACATTGTGATTCAGCTGTGCGACATATCTTGATGAGATGTGAAACTATAGGGCCAAAGCGTAGTTGACATTGCCTATTTGTTAAATTGGCAAAAAGGATATCCTGCAGGTTCCAAGGTTGTACGATATGTTCCTCTATATTACGCCAAGAAACGGAAGCATTAGGGTTAAGCCACACCAGTAACGGATGAAGCACAAATGACCAAAAATACAATTTAAAATTAGGCACCGCCAGACCACCACCTTCCCTCCTCCTCTGTATAGTGGATCATTTCAGTCGTGGACGCTTTGAATTCCAGATAAAGCGCGAAATAAAAGAGTGGATTTTTTTTCCAATAGTCAACCGGGGGTGAGAGGGGGATCATTGAGCTGACAAAATTAATCCTGGGTAAAATGTTCATTTTGACTATAGATATTCGGGCCCAAAGACTGTTCGGAAGGCTAGTCCATCTTTCCAAATCCATCTTAATCCTGTTCCATGTTTCTGAGTAATTACATGTTACAATACGATTTAAAGATGGGAAGATATCACAAGATATTTAAAGTGCTGGACAACTGGGACATTGGGTGGAAATTGAAGCATTGACTCATTAAGGGGTAAGAGGGCAGATTTAGACCAATTAATCCTAAAGCCAGAGAGACAACCAAACTCCTCACAAATAGATAACAATACAGGCATAGATTGAGTCGGTTTCTCCATGAAAACCAGAATATCATCTGCGTATAGCGCCACCTGATGGTGAGTGTCACGAACAGAAATCGGATGTATACTAGGGGATTGGCGTATCA